TGTTTGTAGGCAGATGAGATAAATATTTGATCATTTATTGGTCCACACTATATTCTATCATGATGCGGCTTGGTTTGGATTTTTCGAAGAAATTTAGCTCGAATCGCTGCAGATGTCGCCTTACATTATACTAGATTTTTCCCAAACTATTGAACTGATTATGACAAAACTTGACAGGAATTCTTGAAATAACCAGTATAACAAAGGAAAAAAGTCACATTCAGTTTATTTAACAAAAAAGTCTTCTTTAGGTGTAATACCACCAAATCATAGTACGTCACATCCGGTTGCATACGAAAATAGGTCGAAAAAAAATATTCCCTTGAATTTGACAGTTGTAGGTAATTGATCCTACATTTCATTGCAGTAAAACATTTCTGGGTCATAAACATATATCTTGGGTATTTCAAAGCACCATTATTTTTTTATTTGGGGTTTCTATGAAATATTTTGGAAACTTGAGGTTACATGGTTACTAAAGCTTGTATACAGGTTAAAAAAGGGGGAAAATTTGATTGGTTAACTTCCAGTGATGGTTATTTTCTTATATGCAATGAAATGTTATGTGAAAGTTTTTCTATAGTACTGGACAGGATCAAACTTTACTCATGCCAAGTATTTCTTTATTTGAAACAAAGATAAATTCTGCACAATTTTTTGAAAAGTGCAAATTTAACAAAGACTAATAGGGGAAAATCAATGGTGGTATTACACCTAATATGGGAAGCTGTACATGCACATTTGACCTTGTGAGTACTCTCATGTGTTAAAATTTCTTGCTATTTAAGTGAAATATTACTAATAATGAAATATTCTGAGTGGATTGAGTCTCCAAAACACATTTTATGAGAAAATTTCCTTGAAATAGGACTTTACCATGAATATTAGTTGACAGAATAAGCCATACTTAGAGTTTTGGGGAGCTTTTTCTCCTTTTTTCTTATATTCTGCTATACTAGAAAATTTTTCCTAAGAAATACTTTAATAAATATATAGTTTTAAGTAAATGAAATTATTTTTAAAGCAGTAACAACAAATTATTCACCAAAAGAGAAGCTTTTTATGTCCCTCTCTGGAACGCGGCGTAAATTTAAGTTTTACGTAAGGACTTATTGAAACCTCCTTGGAGACAGTAAACTTTTATACGGATAGTTCATTCAGCTTGAATACTTCAATTTATCATTTATTATAACATTTCTATCATAAATGAGTGAAAGTTACCCCAAAATTTTTATTTATTGGCCTATAAAGTAGAAATTTTGAGGAAATGAGAGGTATAAATGGACCAAAAGAGACCTTATAAGGAAGACAAAGAGGTCCATTGGTAGTATTTATCATCCTAAAGTCATCTTTTGTATCATATCCAACTGTTTGTAGGCAGATGAGATAAATATTTGATCATTTATTGGTCCACACTATATTCTATCATGATGCGGCTTGGTTTGGATTTTTCGAAGAAATTTAGCTCGAATCGCTGCAGATGTCGCCTTACATTATACTAGATTTTTCCCAAACTATTGAACTGATTATGACAAAACTTGACAGGAATTCTTGAAATAACCAGTATAACAAAGGAAAAAAGTCACATTCAGTTTATTTAACAAAAAAGTCTTCTTTAGGTGTAATACCACCAAATCATAGTACGTCACATCCGGTTGCATACGAAAATAGGTCGAAAAAAAATATTCCCTTGAATTTGACAGTTGTAGGTAATTGATCCTACATTTCATTGCAGTAAAACATTTCTGGGTCATAAACATATATCTTGGGTATTTCAAAGCACCATTATTTTTTTATTTGGGGTTTCTATGAAATATTTTGGAAACTTGAGGTTACATGGTTACTAAAGCTTGTATACAGGTTAAAAAAGGGGGAAAATTTGATTGGTTAACTTCCAGTGATGGTTATTTTCTTATATGCAATGAAATGTTATGTGAAAGTTTTTCTATAGTACTGGACAGGATCAAACTTTACTCATGCCAAGTATTTCTTTATTTGAAACAAAGATAAATTCTGCACAATTTTTTGAAAAGTGCAAATTTAACAAAGACTAATAGGGGAAAATCAATGGTGGTATTACACCTAATATGGGAAGCTGTACATGCACATTTGACCTTGTGAGTACTCTCATGTGTTAAAATTTCTTGCTATTTAAGTGAAATATTACTAATAATGAAATATTCTGAGTGGATTGAGTCTCCAAAACACATTTTATGAGAAAATTTCCTTGAAATAGGACTTTACCATGAATATTAGTTGACAGAATAAGCCATACTTAGAGTTTTGGGGAGCTTTTTCTCCTTTTTTCTTATATTCTGCTATACTAGAAAATTTTTCCTAAGAAATACTTTAATAAATATATAGTTTTAAGTAAATGAAATTATTTTTAAAGCAGTAACAACAAATTATTCACCAAAAGAGAAGCTTTTTATGTCCCTCTCTGGAACGCGGCGTAAATTTAAGTTTTACGTAAGGACTTATTGAAACCTCCTTGGAGACAGTAAACTTTTATACGGATAGTTCATTCAGCTTGAATACTTCAATTTATCATTTATTATAACATTTCTATCATAAATGAGTGAAAGTTACCCCAAAATTTTTATTTATTGGCCTATAAAGTAGAAATTTTGAGGAAATGAGAGGTATAAATGGACCAAAAGAGACCTTATAAGGAAGACAAAGAGGTCCATTGGTAGTATTTATCATCCTAAAGTCATCTTTTGTATCATATCCAACTGTTTGTAGGCAGATGAGATAAATATTTGATCATTTATTGGTCCACACTATATTCTATCATGATGCGGCTTGGTTTGGATTTTTCGAAGAAATTTAGCTCGAATCGCTGCAGATGTCGCCTTACATTATACTAGATTTTTCCCAAACTATTGAACTGATTATGACAAAACTTGACAGGAATTCTTGAAATAACCAGTATAACAAAGGAAAAAAGTCACATTCAGTTTATTTAACAAAAAAGTCTTCTTTAGGTGTAATACCACCAAATCATAGTACGTCACATCCGGTTGCATACGAAAATAGGTCGAAAAAAAATATTCCCTTGAATTTGACAGTTGTAGGTAATTGATCCTACATTTCATTGCAGTAAAACATTTCTGGGTCATAAACATATATCTTGGGTATTTCAAAGCACCATTATTTTTTTATTTGGGGTTTCTATGAAATATTTTGGAAACTTGAGGTTACATGGTTACTAAAGCTTGTATACAGGTTAAAAAAGGGGGAAAATTTGATTGGTTAACTTCCAGTGATGGTTATTTTCTTATATGCAATGAAATGTTATGTGAAAGTTTTTCTATAGTACTGGACAGGATCAAACTTTACTCATGCCAAGTATTTCTTTATTTGAAACAAAGATAAATTCTGCACAATTTTTTGAAAAGTGCAAATTTAACAAAGACTAATAGGGGAAAATCAATGGTGGTATTACACCTAATATGGGAAGCTGTACATGCACATTTGACCTTGTGAGTACTCTCATGTGTTAAAATTTCTTGCTATTTAAGTGAAATATTACTAATAATGAAATATTCTGAGTGGATTGAGTCTCCAAAACACATTTTATGAGAAAATTTCCTTGAAATAGGACTTTACCATGAATATTAGTTGACAGAATAAGCCATACTTAGAGTTTTGGGGAGCTTTTTCTCCTTTTTTCTTATATTCTGCTATACTAGAAAATTTTTCCTAAGAAATACTTTAATAAATATATAGTTTTAAGTAAATGAAATTATTTTTAAAGCAGTAACAACAAATTATTCACCAAAAGAGAAGCTTTTTATGTCCCTCTCTGGAACGCGGCGTAAATTTAAGTTTTACGTAAGGACTTATTGAAACCTCCTTGGAGACAGTAAACTTTTATACGGATAGTTCATTCAGCTTGAATACTTCAATTTATCATTTATTATAACATTTCTATCATAAATGAGTGAAAGTTACCCCAAAATTTTTATTTATTGGCCTATAAAGTAGAAATTTTGAGGAAATGAGAGGTATAAATGGACCAAAAGAGACCTTATAAGGAAGACAAAGAGGTCCATTGGTAGTATTTATCATCCTAAAGTCATCTTTTGTATCATATCCAACTGTTTGTAGGCAGATGAGATAAATATTTGATCATTTATTGGTCCACACTATATTCTATCATGATGCGGCTTGGTTTGGATTTTTCGAAGAAATTTAGCTCGAATCGCTGCAGATGTCGCCTTACATTATACTAGATTTTTCCCAAACTATTGAACTGATTATGACAAAACTTGACAGGAATTCTTGAAATAACCAGTATAACAAAGGAAAAAAGTCACATTCAGTTTATTTAACAAAAAAGTCTTCTTTAGGTGTAATACCACCAAATCATAGTACGTCACATCCGGTTGCATACGAAAATAGGTCGAAAAAAAATATTCCCTTGAATTTGACAGTTGTAGGTAATTGATCCTACATTTCATTGCAGTAAAACATTTCTGGGTCATAAACATATATCTTGGGTATTTCAAAGCACCATTATTTTTTTATTTGGGGTTTCTATGAAATATTTTGGAAACTTGAGGTTACATGGTTACTAAAGCTTGTATACAGGTTAAAAAAGGGGGAAAATTTGATTGGTTAACTTCCAGTGATGGTTATTTTCTTATATGCAATGAAATGTTATGTGAAAGTTTTTCTATAGTACTGGACAGGATCAAACTTTACTCATGCCAAGTATTTCTTTATTTGAAACAAAGATAAATTCTGCACAATTTTTTGAAAAGTGCAAATTTAACAAAGACTAATAGGGGAAAATCAATGGTGGTATTACACCTTAACGAGTGCAGCAATGTGCATAGTAGAGGACGCTTGACGAATGCTGCAATGTGCATAGAAGAAGACGCTTAACGAGTGCTGCAATGTGCATAGTAGAAGACGCTTGTCGGTATACTATGATGTTTTTTACCATTATACTTATGGACGTTTCATAGAAGACATTATCAAGTTTCAAGAAGTATACTAGTAATGATTTATTTTGAACAACATTTACATTTATTACATACAGTATATGGCCTGCCATATAGTTTAATCACAACCTATAGTAACAATTGTGTAATGCATCGTAAGGGGAATAACTCTAAATGTATAACTCTCTTTATTTGTGTTCTCCAACCTTTATGATTGAAATGATGCTCAAATACTAAAGCTCTCAAATTTATTCTCTATTTCAAACGTGCTAACCCAGCCTTGAGGTGTCCGAATCGCCTAGACGTGGCCAAAATCAAATAAAACGCCGAAACTTTTTCGCCAAATTTACATCGCTAATACCGTATCGTGTTCGTACTCAGTTGCCCATGAGCACTTGAAACACTCGTCAATTGTACTTTCAGATAAAAAAAAAAAAAAAGGAAACGTGTCAAGCCAAGACCAAAATAAGTGATAAGTTGTAACAACTTTATAGAATTATAAAAGTTATAATACTTGAACTAAATAGATAGTTTCTATTATATGTACGTAATACATAGTTTCTATTATATGTACGTAATACATAGGTTCTAACAATTGTACTAAATAAAGTGTCAATTTTGTCAAATTGTTCATTTAAAGTGAATTCTTGAAATGTACTAAAATGAATTGCATATATGAGTGAAGATTTCTATGTAAATTAAGCCGATACAAAAACTAAAAACAATCTTTAAACCAGTCTAGTATCAATTTTGTAAAAATAAAGATGTATTGATTTTTATCAGTGCATACCATCGCATGTTGTGTGCTAGGAACATTCAAATCAATCATTTTATCAGAGCATGCGTTTTTCTATATTCTGTATTATTGTAAATCAATATTATACTCTATTTATATTTTATTACCTTATTGTCTATTACTCTATGGAATATGTTAGTTATGAAATATATAGGAAAACTTAAAAACATCTTAGTCGAATTGCTTTAAGTTAAATACATAAATATTTAAAGTCACAGTTGACTTTCACAAGTATTGACTGATTCGTGTATGCTTTACGCCGCCTCGGCACAAAAAGTCTATATCGTAGCGAGAATAATACTTACAACAAACAGAATATAGAATATATGAGCTGCGTCGGATAGAAATCGACCTTATGCAAGTACACATATACGTGTACATGTATACGACTTTGATTAATTATGGAACATTCAAAAACGAAATAAAAGATAAATGTCAGTCTGGTTTGTAGGGTTCTTATAACAACTCAATTTTCAAACAGTAACAGACTTTCCGTAGAGATTTTTCATCCCGAGATAGGTTAACAGATATATTGATATTAATGTGCATAAGGTCGATTTCTATCCGACGCAGCTCATATGTTAGGTGCCATTGTTTCATTGTGAAGAAAAAATATAAACGTTGCACAATGATTCATCAATCTAGTTCTAATGATTGAACTGATGTTACGTAATTTGTCTTCAATTGTCAATTAAAGGGTCATTATCACATTTTACTTTCTTATTAAATCTATCACAGAAACTCAATAATAAAACAATATCATATCAAATTTTGAGTTGATAGAACAGAACAAATTACAATTTATGTTTCAATATAAAACCCCAAAAAAGCAGAATAATACAAAATACAAAATAGTATATATTTCCTTATTTTTACAATTCCAAATTGTTGAAAAGGGTAATTTGAGGACACGATACATCTAATATTTATACAACTCATATTCTCATAATGAAACAGTTTGTTGTAGACAGCTAACAACATTATGTTGAATGATCTTATTAACTATGTTTCTACTAAATACTGTTTCATAAATACATCTAAATACTCTATCGTACTGTACTGTAGTCTAGAAGATATCTTTCTCAATTAAAAATCCTCCTTTATCATATTCTCTGTCAATTGTGTATTGACAGTACGTCATGAGGTGATGAAATATTTTGATTTATCAAAAACGTTCGAAATCTTCCAATCTGTCGGAAGGTTCCACACTTTCACACATTGTTCTTTCTTTCTTTCTTTTCATTTCTTCCAGTCTTTCTTTCAGTCTCTTTTCTTGTGCCTCTTTTTTAGCTGTCAGTCTGCAAAATTTTAATTTTAAAGTTGAGAAACATGAATAATGAAAGAAATAAAATTGTCAAATGTATGCAATTAAATTTCATTGCAATTACAAGAGAAACAGGAAATGTAATGAACATAATACCATAACTCCAAAAACAGAGGCGGAAAGAGGCCAACATGAAATGAAATGATCATAATACCATAACTCCAATAAAAAAGAGGAGAAAGAGGCCAACAGGAAATGTAATGATCATAATACCATAACTCCAAAAACAGAGGGGAAAGAGGCCAACAGGAAATGTAATGATCATAATACCATAACTCCAAAAACAGAGGGGAAAAAGGCCAACAGGAAATGTAATGATCATAATACCATAACTCCAAAAACAGAGGGGAAAAAGGCCAACAGGAAATGTAATGATCATGATACCATTACTCAAAAAACAGAGGGGAAAGAGACCAACAGGAAATGTAATGATCATAATACCATAACTAGAAAAACAGAGGGGAAAGAGGCCAACAGGAAATGTAATGATCATAATACCATAACTCCAAAAACAGAGGGGAAAGAGACTAACGAGAAATGTAATGATCATAATACCATAACTCCAAAAACAGAGGCGGAAGAGGCGTAACACATCTATGTCGAATAGAGACCGAAAAAAATATATGGAACAAAACGAAAACGACAGGGGGACAAACAAAAGTCTACAAAATGCTACATCAAAAACTAAAGACTAAGCAACATGAACCCCACAGAAATCTAGAGGTGATATCAGTTGCACCCGAAGGGTAAGCAGATCATGTCCCACATGTGGCACCTGTCGTGTTACAAATTCGGTAAGGCAATCGATTACAGAAAAAGAAAAAGAAAATATTTTGATTTCGTTTTTAAGAACAGTATAACAAGAGTTCTTACAAACGGTCTGTTTCTCTAAAATAAACAATATATTAGCCGGTCTGGTTTCAAGCGGGAATTTTTAAAGATTATCATTTCTAAAACAAGATACCACTTAAACCACGAGGTTTGTCGAAATTTACTTGTTTTATGTTTAGTTCAAAATACAATTGATTTCTGAGACATTTTACAAATATATTTATCCTTCTTATACACTGATGTTACAAAAGAAAAGGTTTATAAATAGATACGTGTTTAAAATACAACCTATGGATATTTGTAGCAGTGTTATTAGAGGACTGATTGAAAGAATAACATCCCCCAACTTATGTTCACTTTTACTTACTGTTTGTCCATCATTAAAGCCTTCTCTAATAATTCCAGGGCTTGTTCCTCCCTAGACTTATGTGTTTCTTTCCTTCTGGCTTTTCTTTCCTCTAGTAATTCTGTTTGTCTGTATCTTTCAGTCGCAAGTTTATTATCAGCAGTGGACAGATTCTGCATAATGGCATCGGTTTCCTAAAATAAATTGCTTTATTGTATATTACGAATAAAAAGAGATGAAGTATAAACGTCAAGGAAGCAGTAACCCGTCGAGATCTTCATTAATAGATGTGGACCATTCTTACGTGTCAAGATCTTCATTAATAGACGTGAACCTTTACTACATGTCGAGATCGTGAATAGACGAGGACCGTTTCTAGATGCTGAGATCAGATGCGGATCCAGAATTTTGAAAAAGGGGAAGGGTCCGTCCCCCGCCGTACCCCCCCAAACTAGGCAACGTTTGGAGTGGAACATGTAAAAGTTCTATGCAATAACCATATATGTAGCTCCATTTAAGGGGGGACAGGGTACCCGCCTCTGGAGATCTTCATTGCCCATAATCTACCAACGCAGTGAATAATTCAACACAGAGAATTAAAGAACTGTCATCGCTAATTTTGATATTGTTTTACTATTTTGATCAAGGTGATCTGTTACTCAAACGTAAGATTCATGCGATGTTTTCGTGTCAAAAGTCCTTACTGTAGAAAAAACGTCTTAAATTATATCTTTTAATTACAGAAGTATTTTTGCAGTTCACGTGCGTTGGCCTTATCTGCAAATGATGATAGAATTTCCACAAATAAAGGATATTTAAATCTAAACAAAAATAGAAATGTTAAAACCTCTATGATGAACTAAATGGACAGATAATACTTAAATAAGTTATCAAAGAAAATCCCATTAGTGACATGTTTACATGCATAATATGTTAGAATAAGGCTGGGAAAATATTTTACTTAAAAGTCACGTGATAGCAAACATGGATACGTAAAACATCTAAATTGACCTTCTTCTCTCGAATATTTGTAGTATATGGTATTGTTCGTAAAGCTAATAAAATGATATGCAAACCCCTTGTAAACTAACAAAAAATGATCCGGAATAAAAAAAAAAAACAAAATAGCAGGTGCACAATAGCATTATATGGTACAGACTGGTAAACTTCAACTGTAATAAAGGTTTAGTAGGCGGATACAAAAGATGTACCCCCGAAACGTGTACTATAGTACAAATATGACAAATATAAAAATAAGATGTGGTATGATTGCCAATAAGACAACACTCCACCAGAGACCAAATGACATACATGTTAACAAAAAGTCCACCAAATCCAAAACTAATCCCCAAAAATCATTCAGATGAAGAAACGAATAGTAGATATTAAACTAAATTATGTGTATAAGATTCTGTAAAAGTTTCACATAAGTCTGTCAAGCAGTTTATGAGCATTAGTGGATAAAACAAAGTTGGACAAAAGGAAGAACGGATCGACTCCCTAATCACTATATATCGCCGCTTTAGAAAAAAAGAGGATATATTTCTCTAGTCCGTTTATAAATAAGTGGAAGTAGAAAACAATAAAGTCACTAGACAGCAAAGCAGAGAGATTATAAAATGCAAGTAATATGAACTAATTTCAAATAAATCCTGCAGTAACATTACTACATAAAACAAGTTCGTTTATTTATAAAATTGAGTCATACTTTTATCAATTCGCTTAACCGACCACCCTCACTGTTCACTTCTATGTATTAGGCATGGGACAGACCTAATTATATCTGTATTCCTTGTATAAGTGAATTATGCAGTGAAATATAGCATGTAAACAGCTACTTGTAAACTCATGATTGTCGTATTTTGTGATTAAATCAAATGTAAATGACCATACATTTGGTGCGTCCGGGCGCTTTTGTAGATTGGTCCTCCTCAGGATCGCACAAACCCAAAGGTACATATAAATACGTGAAAAGGAATGTGAATAAAAGAGACATAAAAGCAATAGCCAAATAAGTCTAAGGTCAACTTTGTCCGAAGGAGTTGGAACCTTAGTTTCTTATCAATCTCTCTAAAGAAGAAGGTATGAAAAGGCCACTCTATTGGCACCTTGCATTAGAATATCCAAAAGTGTTTTAAATCTACATAACTCGTGTAGCCATGATGCAGTATGCAAGACAAAATTCAAAAACAAATTTTGTCTTGCATCTTTGCATTAGATCTACACGATGTTTTTTCCCTAAAGTAATTGTTTGTAATAAAACCATGACTCATTTCTATTATTCCAAAATCTATGCGTTAAATTCTATTTAAGGTCAAATATGTTTATTTTGAAATGTATATGAGATCACAAGTGACTTTTCTGTACACACTGTCCAGATTATTTCAACATGTTGATTGATCATTAAAGTTTACATAATTGTAAAAGATTTCAGTAATGGTATTTTTTTTTTAATTTCAAGGCCAAGACTCTTTTCATATCTTCTCCTTTGTCAACGGTTAATTCTAGAATTCTATTTTATAAAGCATGTCAGCACCTAGCATTGTCTAAAGAAACACTTCTCAATTACTGCTAAATAGAATAAGACAGGTGCCACCGGATGAGCTCCCGAAGGTTTTTGGTGCATGTTTTTTATTCACTTATTTATAATTCGGTAATTGTAAGCCCTTTTCTACTGTTTTTATAGTTTGTTTTTATGTTGTATTGTTATACACTGTCCCAGGTTAAGGGGAGGGTTTGGCGCCAGCAAACTAGTTTAACACAGCCACATTCTATATGTGCATGTCCCAAGTCAGGAGCCTGTAGTTTAGTGGTTGTCGTTGGTTCATGTCTGTCATATTTGTTTTCCTAAATTGTTTTGTTGTAAATTATGCCGTTAGTTTTCTCAATTGAATTGTTTCAAATTTTTCAAGTCGGGGCCTTTTATAGCCGACTGACTATACGGAATGGTTTTTCTCATTGTTAAAGTCCGTACGGTAGCCTATAACTGCTTACATTCACTTCGTTTAAACTTTGGTTAACTCGTTGACAACTCGTTGGCAATCATACCACATCTCCTTTTTTTTTATATATATATACACATTTTTGGGAAAATGTATGCTTCGCGGATACAAATTTGCAAGAAAATTGTTGAATCATCCATATTGATATCTGTTTCAGTAACCATGGGTAATGCTTAGCAACTCAATATGGAAAATATCAGAAATATAGTACTTTCTAATATTGCTTATAACTTATTCATAACATTTTGTGTCATTAAGCATAGCTTTAAGCGATTATTTTGATATTCAACTGATCTTATTTCTGCAATAAAATGTCATTTAAACAATATGAAATACATCTATTATTAATATATTAATTTCATTATTTAAATGTTCATTTCGTTAATTAACAAATCCTATTCAGTATACGAATATGGATAGTAAACTGAACATTGCTAGAAAACAAAGAAATAATGATGTCAATGTTAAATACGTGAATAATGTAATACAAATAAACAGGAAATACGAGAACAAAAATTGACGAACATTGATTACCAAATTTTAATCTGCTTATCGAGTCCCTCTGCATATAACGTGAACGTTTCTCATTTAGAACCATGTTCGAGCATTTTTTCTTTATGTCGATTTATCTAACAAAGGTATACTGTCAAGGTTACGGAAACGTATAAGAGACATAGTGAAAATAAAATTGACTTTGGCATTCTTTTCGAAATTGAAATTTTGACATTGAAAATCTTAAATTTCGACTTAAACTCGAAATTTTAACTTTTCTAATCTCAAAAGTTTGACAATAACTTAAAACTTTGTATTTTAAAATCTTGAAAGTTCGACTTTTTAAAGTAGAAATTTTGACTTTTATAAACTCAAAATTTCGACTTTTCTAGAAATTTTGACTTTTATAAACTCAAAATTTCGACTTTTCAAAAGTCGAAATTTCAACTTAATACTCAAAATTCGACTTTTAAAATTCAAAAACTTATTACTTGTCACTTTCAAGGTTTAGTTGACTGTTACATGTTCGTCGTCTAATTTTCTAAAGTCAACACACCCCATACACCACAAAGGAATGTCTATTGAATTTCTAAGCAAATAAGAAGTATATAAAAAAAATGTCGCTTTCTTCCTGTTCATCGATCTGATATTGATTGATAAGTAAACAAACAGCAGCACTATTTTTCAGTTAAGTATATCACTTAAACGATGTTGGCCTTGACTGTACAAGTTGATACAATACACGACTAAGTCCATGTAGATGTAGCATTTAGATTGATTATGCTTTGAAATGTATTATCATATAAAGGGCCAATTTTTTTGTAGAGATGAAGGTAATGATGTAATTTCTTTTTTCAATGATTATTTTTACTGTAAGGCAGATATCTCTATCATTAAGGGGAAACGTATAAATTCAAAAGTTTTGTACACACCAGGGATTTTGGCAATTTTGTTAAAACCGTGTATTGTGATATGGATTCACATTTCTTTCTTTGGAAGAACTGTTCAATTGTAGTGTAATAAAAGCACACACAAAAATATCAAGTCATATGAAATGAATGTATTGCATAATTACCGCTTGTAAAGCTTTTTTGCTCATTATAGGACTGGGAGAAGGTAAACTTCTGGATGTCTGAGCACTGATGGGCCTTTCAACAGGTGCAAGAGATGGTACACTGAGTGATGAAGGACTCCTTGATTCATTAAACATAAGTCTACTTTGTTCTTTCCTTCTCATATAGTCTTTGACACTTGCTTTATTCTCATCTGATCTTTCGTCTATAAATGATATACGTGAACTGGACGACCTACTCTTCCTTCCTTTCTCGTCTAAATACTTGTTAACACAGTTCCGTTCATAGTCCATACGTCGCTGTTCTGTAATAAGAATTAACATCTGATGAGGAAACATTATTTAATCATCTTGCTTTATTTCAACATAAAAACTTATATATCATCTTTTAATATTTCTAAACGTACTTTTTCAAGTACCTGTGAATATGGTTCTAAAATTTTCTATCTACTGCTTTTTTCTTAGCTGATTTTGATTTCGCATTTCACGCTGAAGCTTTCGTTGCGCCAATACTTAGGACAACGAACGGAGAGCTGTTCATTGAAAAGCACTTTAACCCCGCTTAACATCAGTGTATGAACAATTAGATGTAGGGTATACATAAAGTTTCTAACTTAACAATGAATATTTAATTGGTAATTTGTTTTCTCTAATTCTTCGTCTTCTGCACCCATTGTATAAAAGAAATTTAATCAACGTGTGGTTCGTTTGATCTCAGTTCTTCATTGGTTAAAATCCGATTATGACGTCGAATTTTCTTGCTTTCCTCTGAATTTCCTATTGTGACGGCATGAAAAAAGGCGACCATGCCTGATGACGTCACATAGAAAGAACACATCTTTTTTGCAGATCATTCAAAAAGAAGGAATAAGTTTGCCTGCATATTGTTTGAAAATCATTAGAGAAACAGATTCCACCACCAAATCTCGTGTAATACGATATTTATCCACTCTCGACAGTTAAATTCTAAATATTTAAAACGCTCGGCGAGCCTCGCGTTTTAAATTTGAAAATTTAACTGTCTCGAGTGGATAAATATCGTATCACACTCGATGCAGTGGTAGAATCTATATTTATTTGTTTTCTTAAATATTCTTAACATATATATGAATTAATTTTATAATAAGAGTATCTAAAAAGTCGGGTTTAATTTCTGTTGATATAATCGATAACATACTTAAAATCGGTATGTCTATTTTTGATTCCGAAGGTTCTTCACGTACCTAACATTCTAGATTCTGCCCTGAGTTGTTCGGTTTCGTCCTCAAAATCCAACATTGTTCCCCTCAGTTCCATCCGACTTTCTTCTATAGCATCAATCATGTCTTCTGTTTCTTGTTCGAACAAATCAAGAAGACTCTCCACAAATGCTTTCTAAAAGAAAAATCCACAAAACTGTTAGCGAGTGCAGCATTGATGAGGGTATAGCTCAACGGAATTGACAGAATAGATAATAATTGGTAAAAACAAAAAAGAATAGTGAAAATGGGCCGAACAAATAAAGATTGGAATAATTGGGATCTAATATATAAAATATACAAGATAAAAGGATAGACAAAATTTATATATATATGACCTATCTGATTATATAATCCACTGTTTCAGTATCTTACTACATTTGTAGGTCAAACCTTAAGTTCTGATTGCACTCGACCTTTTCAGTACCTTACAAGGTCACAAACTTAAATTAGACCGTAAGTTCTGATTGTATTCAACCTTTTCAGTATCTTATACGATCAAAAAAATTAATTAGATCCTAAGTTCTCATTGTACTTGACCTTTTCAGTATCTTGTACGGTCAAAAACTTAAAGTGGCGGATCCAAAACTTTTTATAAGGGAGGGGGCCCACTGACTGCCATAAGAGGGGGCCCGCTACAGTCAAGCTTCAGTGATTCCCTATATAATCAACCAAATTTTTCCCACGAAAAGGGGGGCAGGCCCCCCAGCACCCCCCCCCCCCCCCCTGGATCCGCCTATGTTAAACTTAAAAGTTCTGGTTCAGTATCTTAATGAGATTCTTAGTTTTGATTGGAGTACAATAACAGACTTATCAAATTTTTCAAATTTGATAAAAGACATTTGGATTTGGTTAAATGACATTTACTTTTCTTTGGGGACATTATGATATCATACGAAACAGTAATATTGAATATATAATGCAGATTGTGTCAATAGAAATATGGAATATCGTGACATTCTGTGATTATCGGGACATTCTGGTAGATTAATTGTTGTGTAGTTTGCATATATTTGAACTACAGTATTAATGATTTATAGAAAGGTTGTCCAGGATGTGTTTTCAGGAATGAATTCTGATACATTCAAGGAAGAGAAGAATTTATCATAAACCGGATCTTGATTATCGATGTACCAGTTTATGGAATAGTTAATGTTACTGACATGTACTTTTGAAACTGTTTAGAACAATTGACTTCGTGCACAGTTCAATATCTACTTGAAAGAAAGCAATTATAACAAATTCCATTTATATTGATGATTTAATAATTTCCTTGCTTGATAAAATATAATTAAATTAATAACGAACTATATTTACATTGCAGAGTCATTGCATTGTTGATTGGTGTATTAGGAATTTGTAGAGACATGTACGATAAAAAAAAAAGAAACTGTCTACACAGTTCCAGCAAGACATAATAAAATTTGAATAAAAGATTAAAGGGAGCATGTTAAACATGTAAGACATTACAAAATATTCACACAATTTGCAAAGTCAAGATCCTCGTCAGTGGGTGTTCGTATCATTTCGTTTTGTCTTTAATGGCAGAGCCTCGTCCGTGGTGATCATATCATTTCGTTTTGTCTTTAATGACAGAGCCTCGTCAGTGGGTGATCATATCATTTCGTTTTGTCTTTAATAGCAGAGACTCGTCAGTGGGTGATCATATCATTTCGTTTTGTCTTTAATGGCAGAGCCTCGTCAGTGGGTGATCATATCATTTAGTTTTGTCTTTAATGGCAGAGCCTCGTTAGTGGGTGATCATATCATTTCGTTTTGTCTTTAATGGCAGAGCATCGTCAGTGGGTGATCATATCATTTCGTTTTGTCTTTAATGGCAGAGCATCGTCAGTGGGTGATCATATCATTTAGTTTTGTCTTTAATGGCAGAGCCTCGTCAGTGGGTGATCATATCATTTAGTTTTGTCTTTAATGGCAGAGCCTCGTCATTGGGTGATCATATCATTTCGTTTTGTCTTTAATGGCAGAGACTCGTCAGTGGGTGATCATATCATTTCGTTTTGTCTTTAATGGCAGAGCATCGACAGTCAATTCATATGCTGTAGTCTATACTGGGAATAATATAGAGGTTGACATATGGTACAGACCATGGTTACGATCCGAGAGGAGGGGATTGGATCGTAACACTTGGGTACAGACATCTGTCTATTATTGAAACCCGTATGTTGATCTCTGCGTCTATTTTTTTAATATTGTGTGGTGTTGTTTCCTTAACACTTACACAATGTTCTTTTGAAATTAATTTTGATAAAGGTTCTCGGAGAATCTCATGCGTAGTACGCACGATATTTTGTATCAGACTTTAATGTTTCTGCTACTTGGCTGTTACCCACTGGCTGGCAACTTCTGGTGGCTTGTCAGGTTATTCAGGTGTTTGGGATTGTGTTTTGAGGTTGTGTTTTAGGGTTATGATATGAGATTTGTCTCATTGTCGTATATACCAAACATGTTCTTTGTTCATTTTATATGAGGCTTCACTATTGCTCAAGAGCACCTGTTTTACAGAAATGGCTAGGTCTTTTGCTCAGGAAAAGTTTATTAAGGGAGAATTGTTGTATTATAAAAGACTACATGTCAATTTTAAAGTTTATTGGGGAGAACCGAATATTGCAACATTATCATACAATAGATCTACAACAATATGATGTGGTTAAAAATAAACTCAACATAGAAACCGGGACTAACATGTTGTACGCCAGACTAGCGTTGATGTGTTGATACAATGTAGATATAGCGGTGATACAATGTAGATATAGCGGTGATACAATGATAGAAATGAAGGTTGGTGTGATCTTATTATATAATAACTTCAATATAGATGTAATTTCAACTGTACTAAGTAATCTAAATAATCTAATACGAATAAAAAGAGATGAGTTCTACGTCATCAATAACCTGCTGAAACAACTTTTGTTCTAATCAATCTCCAAATAGGTTTCCGTGTCATTTGGAAATAATGTAAATTACATGTTCAAAAGCCTCGGTGTCAACCCTCTCTCATAATACACGAAAAAGAGAATAAAAATACCAATTTGAAGAGTGTTTAGAAACAATTATAAATCAATGTAGTCTTCTAATGTTGGGGATCACTTTAAGTAATATCGACCACTACTTTATTTTACTTTCAACTTAATACCAAATAACAGCTCACTACTCGATAAAAAGGTGTGTTTACACATTTGAATTGTATTTAGTGAGAATTTGCATCGATATTGGTCGAACCTGGGAACATTTAAAACTTAACAGCATCAATATTCTTCAGGAAAAGACAATGACGATCAATAATAATCCAGTACTTTATTTAGAGGTGGCAATTGTATCACGGTCTTCAGATGTACATTTTCATGAGATTTTGTGTCCTATGGCCTTCAAAAGTTGTTAGAATGGTCGAACATTACTTATATTGATATCCTTCGTACCGTATATATATATTTTTTCAAAATATAGCATTATGACCAATTGTCAGATGCTCAACTTTTAGGTTTGTTATCTTGGAAAGTTTATGTTCACTTTACATTTAAAGTATCAAATATCTATAGATTGATTAATTGTTGGTGTTAAACGCCACTCTCAGTTGTAAAAAGAATGAGACCGTAGAGAAACAACTTAGACCACTCGGCCACTGAAGCCCCTCAGTGTTGACAGGCTAAAACTATAGATGAACTTCTCAGACAACTCGGCCACCGAGGCCCCTCAGTGTTGACAGGCTGAAACTATAGATGAACTTCTCAGACAACTCGGCTATCGAGGGTCCTCAGTGTTGACAGGCTAAAACTATAGATGAAATTCCCAGACAACTCGGCCACCGAGGCTCCTCAGTGTTGACAGACTAAAACTATAGATGAAATTCCCAGACAACTCGGCCACCGAGGCCCCTCAGTGTTGACAGGCTAAAACTATAGATGAAATTCCCAGACAACTCGGCCACCGAGGCCCCTCAGTGTTGACAGGCTAAAACTATAGATGAACTTCTCAGACAACTCGGCCACCGAGGCTCCTCAGTGTTGACAGGCTAAAACTATAGATGAACTTCCCTGCAGACAACTCGGCCACCGAAGCCCCTCAGTGTTGACAGGCTAAAACTATAGATGAACTTCCCAGACAACTCGACCACCGAGGCTCCTCAGTGTTGACAGGCTAAAACTATAGATGAAATCCAGACAACTCGGCCACCGAGGCTCCTCAGTGTTGACAGGCTAAAACTATAGATGAACTTCCAAGACAACTCGACCCCCGAGGCTCCTCAGTATTGACAGGCTAAAACTATAGATGAACTTCCCAGACAACTCGGCCACCGAGGCTCCTCAGTGTTGACAGGCTAAAACTATAGATGAAACTATAGATGAACTTCTCAGACAACTCGGCCACCGAGGGTCCTCAGTGTTGACAGGCTAAAACTATAGATGAAATTCCCAGACAACTCGGCCACCGAGGCTGCTCAGTGTTGACAGGCTACAACTATAGATGAACTTCTCAGACAACTCGACCACCGAGACCCCTCAGTGTTGACAGGCTAAAACTATAGATGAACTTCTCAGACAACTCGACCACCGAGGCCCCTCAGTGTTGACAGGCTAAAACTATAGATGAAATTCCCAGACAACTCGGCCACCGAGGCTCTTCAGTGTTGACAGGCTAAAACTATAGATCAACTTCTCAGACAACTCGGCCACCGAGGGTCCTCAGTGTTGACAGGCTAAAACTATAGATGAAATTCCCAGACAACTCGGCCACCGAGACCCCTCAGTGTTGACAGGCTAAAACTATAGATGAACTTTTCAGACAACTCGACCACCGAGGCCCCCAGTATCAAATACGCATATACATTATGGTTAGTCAATATTTTTTGTATATAGTTGAAATGACGGTAAGCCGTATATTAAATCCATAGAACTTTTTCTATACTATGCGGAAATAGTTTTATTTGTATTTCTTAACAGTTAAGTGCATGTATCTATTACATATATATAAGTTTAATGTTGTTGAAAAGTTTCATTGTCGTCAGAATTGTGTGAGGATATTCAAAATAATGTAAATCTGAGCGATATATTAGAAGTATTCATAAATGTATGTAGAATCTTTACGAAAATTGCGAAATTCAATACGGGTGCCGCCAATAAAGATTATGTCGTAAACATTGTACAGTAAGTTAGCATTACACTATAGATGCACATTGAAGACATTCCTTTACATAACTATTGTTTTTCATAATAAAGAAAAGAGAGGAATGCAAAAAGTGAACGAAAACATCCACCACCATATTACCCGAAAATTAGTTCTTTTTTTTTTGTTTTCTTGTACTTTTTATGATTTGATTGATAGATATAACAAATGGAAGGTCGTGATTAAAAAGGAACTTGTTTACTACGTCACGTGTTTTAAAACGTGTCTGTGCCTATGTCAGGATTTCGTCAGTGTTTTATATTCAAATACTTTATCCTGTAGGAATGTTGGCGATAGATAGTTTATTTATTTACAATGTTTCTAGTCTGGGGCGAGTTTCTACTCTAGGGGCGAGTTTGACCTATTGTATGGACATCTACTGTGGACTTGTTTGTCTTTTCGTCCTCTTTCGTATTTTTGTCTTTGAATGGCCCCTTGGTATCTTTCGCCTCCTTTTTTCTACTTCTATCCCGATAGAATATAAATTAGCATCACCTACAAAAAGGTCGGTTGAACAGAGGAACAACACTACGATCTAATCCGACAGCGTTTTTTTACAGCGGATGACCGTGAGGGCATTCCGGTGATATGTTGCCACAGACATTTCTACCCACGTGACTTGCGTTTTTGACTGATAACCGAACGTATTTCGTATAATTACGCGGATATTATCGAATGCAAAATAACATTCCTTATCGCTTGTTATATATTAATTTCATCAATAAATATTCATGAAAATAATTTTTAAGAACATAGATAAATGAAATGAAAATGTTTTGTCGTGAGAAATATATATATCAATAATAAATCAAGAATATCGAAAATTTGTGTAAACGCATGGTGAAGAATATCTCAAGAACGTTTTGCAACAAACGCGGAGAAGAATGAATGCCGACTCAAATCCAATCTATTAGAAAAACGAATTATTACAGAAGAGTGTCCACCATGCACTTGTACTGCATTATCATTAGAATAGTAGAATAGAATGATGTACAAATGGATAAAAATTATATATAACTGTTATACAAATATTAATATAATAACAACAAACCAGAGTATACTGATAACAAATGATTATATCACTACAATAATATAGTTATTACGGTGAGATTGAATTCCCTGTCATTTATTCATCATCCACACACGAATTTGTCTCAGAAAAAAAAAATATCTATGTACCTTAACCTAACTTTCAGGTATAGAGATGGGATTTTTTTCTGAGACAAGTGCTTGTGATCATCCACCAGAACTTGCGGTACGATGTTCAGTACTTCAGTACTTTGATTTGGTTTTATGATTACAAATTTCCTAACTGCTGATAAAGCTTCCAACTATGATAAGCGGACGTGATGTCACTTTGTTTTGAAACAGCGTGTTTAGTGTTGGTTGAGTAAGTAGACAGAACACGGAATCGATCGCATAGCTCTTTCAATCTCATTAATATTTCCGATTTACCTGAAATCTGACAGCACAATTAATAGGATTAACCACATTCCGTATGGTTCAATATCCACATAAGTCAAAGAAAATTTAACCAGTTCTACAATAATAAGATGCATATAACACCGTAAAGGTTGTGCAAGGAAGTTTATGTTGATCGAATTATACTGCTGGGTTGCTGACTTCTCCGCAATATTTCCTTTTTATTAATGAAATTGACACTGATCATTACAAAATATAGGCGTCAAGGACATATAAAGGTGAGAGTTAAATGTATTCAACAGTTGGACAATAAGTACAAAGTATAGGTAAAGCCAAAGGAATATACCAAGATCCAGAAATTTAACTAAACCAGGTATTGGTTCAGAAAAAAAACTAAACAAAAATAAAACAAAAACAAAAACAAAGGCAAAAATAAAAAATAAAATAAAAAATAAACCCCTCAAAAACATAAAACTTCATGATATTGATGAAGAATTTAATTTTAAGGACTATTTTGTTAGAACATCAATAAAATTACTTAGTCCAACATTTAAAAAGCAAATATTGATTGCTGATGGAACAATTGTTTGACCTTTGTTTTGATTACACCACAGATATTAATTATAAGATCAATCGATATTAGATTTTCTTTTACAGGAACTTTCATAATAAAAATGATCTTTTCATACAAGAGAGGCGAAAGATACCAAAGGGACATTCAAACTCATGAGTCGAAAATAAACTGACAACGCCGTGGCAAAAATGAAAAAGACCAAAAGACATATACAAAACACAACATAGAAAACTGAAGACTGCGCAACACGAACCCCACCAGAAACCGGGGGTACAACTTCAATTGGATACATTTTTTAAGATGTGCAGTTTCTTGTCTTTATACCTTAATTTAAGCGTATCTGAAATTCACGCTTTTATGCATATTTGATATTATTAAATTATTTTTGCATTTTATTACATTTTGTCTATGAATTCTTGACATTTTTAGCGTTTATAAGAAATTAGAGAATAGGTTCAGCAACTTCCATTTCAACATCTATTTAATTTCTACTCTATAGGAAGATTGTTTGAAATGTTTCCCCATATATTTCGTGTATATTCTAGACCAGAACAAGTTTACAATAAAGAACAAATATTTCTTTATGTAGAAGTGCTGCATAAAATAACCAAATACTACCAATAATCCTGAGAAAATGGAGAGAAATTGTAATCTAAAAACATTATTTAGTTCTTTTCATCGTACGAACGATTTTTGTCTCTATAGTACCCGATAGAAGCGCCTTTCGTCGGTGACCATATGATTATTTTATATCATTAAAACGGAAATTTATGTATCAACAACATATAGTTTTTTAAGAAAAATCTATGTAGTAAAAATTGAAAATTTTATGATTTGAAGGTAAATTTATGAACGTTTTTCGTTGATGTCATGTGCTTCCTATACAAATGTTCACATATTTTGAAAGAATTCAATAAATTTCAGAAAATAAAAGAGGTAATGGTAATATTTTTTCGATTTTCAAATACAATCAAAATAAGTGCTCCGAACTTCAGTTCGCTTCGTAAAGTAACAATACCGCTATCTACTAGTTTCCTCGTTTTCAGACCATTTACATATGTATGTAAATAGTTTAATAGTTGTTTTCGGGCTGATCAATAACCGTTTTTTTTTGTCCTTCTATAACCCGTTTGAACAAAACAAACTGTAGAAGACACTGGTCATGCTGGTATTTCAGTGTTAAAAATCGACAGTACAATAAGAAAATTAAGGCTTCACAATATCTTAAGACACTTTTGATTTGAAGTAAGTAAAAGGGAAAGAAAAATATAAAGATTGCTAAAATAAAAATTTATTCTTTTAACTTACCTGCACATGTGGACTGAGTCTTTTGATTTTGCCTTTGTACTTACCCGCACATGTGGACTGAGTCTTTTGATTTTGCCTTTGTACTTACCCGCACATGTGGACTGAGTCTTTTGATTTTGCCCTGAATATCTGGATTTTTTAGTAACTCTTCCATTGCGGTATGTCTGGAACCAAAAAACCTCAATTAAGCAATGTTAACTAGTCATGAAAGTTCAACTGCAATAACATGTTTTAAAATGAAGTACGTTCAACTGCTACAAATCACCACATCGTAAAACGTTTGGGAATCCTGCAATTTAAAAGCTAATCAATGCTATTACTAATTCATAACCGTCATAGAACTGTCACAGCGCCATCTGGTAATCGATAAGACAAACAATGCATATAAACAATGGTTGCTATGGAGAAAATGATTTTAAAAAGATCTTGTCGATATTTCAATACTTAAAATACTAAGTCTTATATATAAAATCTCGGTTTCTATGAACTATTTCTTTTTGTTTGGTATTAAAGGAAAAAAATCGCATTGCCACCTGTGAACTATAATTACAGTAGACTAACTTTAGCCGGGTTGAAATCGTTAGAAATAAAATATTGTAATGAAAATCACATATCACAACAACTGTTAAAAAGGAGTGTTCTTTATTTCCTTTTCGTTAAACATGTAACGCATACAAAATAATGTAATGTTGATTCACTCAATGCAAGGTGTAATTCTTGTACTTTTCAGTACTTCCTGCATTTGCCACGAGTGGTTTACAATTGGACCATCCAGGCCCGCGCGACAAGGTGTATAACCTGTAGTATAGACTGTTTCCCGTCTGGTATATTTGCTGTTTCCCGTCTGGTATATTTGACAAACTTGAAGGTATACTGAAAATGTACGTAACCAACCTATCCGAGATCGAACATACAAAAAGTAAATCAACCTCCGAGAGTAACCTAAAACGTTGAATCACCTCGATCCCAGAGAGGGAAGTGGAGTATATATCTCCCAGTTTACACGATAATTCAAAGCTTGCTTATCCCTTCATGATTTTCTTGATAGAGGATTATTGCTTACAAAGAAGCTATTGTACCAAGGGTTTCAAATGGTAAAATTGAAGTAATCTTTTCAAAAGTTTTTCGGACGCCATCACGAGTCAGTTGACCGTTATGGAATATCTATGTCAATGATGACCACGAATACTAGTTTGTCTTTACCACAATCCCACGAATACTAGTACGTCTTTACCACAATCCCAAGAATACTAGTATGTCTTTACCACAATCCCACGAATACTAGTACGTCTTTACCACAATCCCACGAATACTAGTATATCTTTACCACAATCCCACGAATACTAGTATGTCTTTACCACAATCACACGAATACTAGTTTGTCTTTACCACAATCCCACGAATACTAGTTTGTCTTTACCACAATCCCACGAATACTAGTATGTCTTTACCACAATCCCACGAATACTAGTATGTCTTTACCACAATCCCACGAAGACTAGTATGTCTTTACCACAATCCCACGAATACTAGTATGTCTTTACCACAATCCCACGAACACTAGTATGTCTTTACCACAATCCCGTCTACTTTTACTCGAGTGTGAAATCATCGATTGAGACTACCCACACTTACCATGAACAACATGACGGGTGTCACTAATGAAGCAGGTTCTGCATGCCCTTCCGGAGTACATGTGATCAAGCCCAGTTTATTTTGGTGGGGTTCTTTTTACATAGTCTTTTATTTCATATGTAGTGTTTTATATACTTGTTTTTCTTTTCCTCGTCTTCCGTTTTTTGCCATGGCGTTGTCAATAACCCATCAACATTTTTGAATGTTTACTTGGTAGTTTTTGCCTCTTTTTTTGATAGGACAAATCTTCCGAGTAACCTACGTTTTAACATACAACAGTTCAAATCATCCGAGTCATAAAAAGACCTACAATGAAACATGTAATAGGTCAATTTACTCCCGAGTCTAAAGGTGAACTACGGTAGAATATGCGACTGGTCAATTTACGTGGAGTCTAAAGATGACATACGGTAGAACATGTAATATGTCAATACACCCAGATTCTAAAGGTGACCTATGGTAGAACATGTAACAGGTCAGTTCACCCAGAGTCTAAAATGACCTACGGAAGAATATGTAACAGGTCAATTCACTCCGAGTCTAAACATGACCTACGGTAGACCATGTAACAGATCAATTCACCCCGATTCTAAAGGTGACATATGGTAGTACATGTGTATCAGGTCAATTCACCCGAGACTAAAGATGACCTACGGTAGAACATGTGTATTAGGTCAATTCACCCGAGACTAAAGATGACCTACGGTAGAACATGTGTATCAGGTCAATTCACCCGAGACTAAAGATGACCTACGGTAGAACATGTAACTGGTCACTTCACCCAGAGTATAAAGATGACCTACGGTAGAACATCTGTAACAGGTCTATTCAACCAGAGTCTAACGATGACCTACGGTAGAACAGGTAACAGGTCAATTCACCCCGGGTCTAAAGGTGACCTATGGTAGAACATGTGTATCAAGTCAATTCACCCGAGACTAAAGATGACCTTCGGTAGAACATGTAATTGGTCACTTCACCCAGAGTCTAAAGATGACCTACGGTAGAACATGTGTATCAAGTCAATTCACCCGAGACTAAAGATGACCTACGGTAGAACATGTGTAACAGGTCAGTTCACTCGAGACTAAAGATGACATACGGTAGTACATGTGTAACAGGTCAATTCACCCGAGACTAAAGATGACCTACGGTAGAACATGTAACTGGTCACTTCACCCAGAGTCTAAAGATGACCTACGGTAGAACATGTGTATCAAGTCAATTCACCCGAGACTAAAGATGACCTACGGTAGGACATGTAACAGGTCAGTTCACTCAGAGTCTAAAGATGACCTACGGTAGAACATGTAACAGGTCAGTTCACTCAGAGTCTAAAGGTGACCTATGGTAGAAAATGTAACAGGTCAATTCACCCAGAGTCTAAAGATGACCTACGGTAGAACATGTGTATCAAGTCAATTCACCCGAGACTAAAGATGACCTACGGTAGAACATGTGTAACAGGTCAGTTCACTCGAGACTAAAGATGGCCTACGGTAGTACATGTGTAACAGGTCAATTCATTCACAGTCTTAAGCTGACCTATGGTAGAACATGTAATAGGTCAATTCACCCGAGACTAAAGATGACCTACGGTAGGACATGTAACAGGTCAGTTCACTCAGAGTCTAAAGATGACCTACGGTAGAACATGTAACTGGTCAATTCACTCCGAGTCTTAAGGTGGCCTATGGTAGAAAATGTAACAGTTCAATTCACCCAGAGTCTAAAGGTGACCTACGGTATAACTTTTAAAAGGTCAGTTCATCCAGAGTCTAAGATGACATATGGTCGAAGATGTAACAGGTCAGTTTACCCAGAGTCTAAAGGTGACCTACAGTATAGAACATGAAACTGGTCAATTCACCCCGCGTCTAAAGTAAAGTGATGTACACATGAAAAGTGATGTGATAGTCTGATGTATATGCCCATTATAGTAATAAAGGTTATTTTGACGGATTTTATTTGCGTGTTTACTCGACGGCTTCGCTCACAAACTGAATAAAGTCCGAAATGATTTATGTTTCGTTTAGGAGTCAAAATAACCATTGTTTTAATTAAAATTCAAAAAAATGAACAAAATGGGGATCAACACCTACAGTACTTATTTTGTCCTTATAGGAATATATACTCGGGATCTCATGAAACGGGAATTTTGGTTGACACGACACTCGCTCAATTTGGCTTCACATGCCGCATTGGAATTAATAGTCCCCTATTTCTTAGAAACTGCACGTGCTTTGTAAAATCTGTTGATATATATATATTATAAGAAATCCAACAGAGAAAACAAATTTAAGTTAACTATAAGTGAAATAGTTTAGCCTTTGACCTTTAGAAGATTAAAACAGTAAATTTGTTACAACTAATCTGATTGATAAAACAGGCAAAAATATCATACGAATCAGGGGAAAGATTCAAATCTTGTGAACCCCCTTTATTGCTCGGATACAGAAAATTCTTACGAAAAGCATCATTTAATTGAAGACATCTTGCTGGCTAAAAAATCAACTTTTTCATAAATATTACATTCAATTACAAATGTTTAATTTTCAAAAAGATTTCAAAGCGAAAAAATCACAAAAACCTGTCTTTGCATACCCTACATCAGATTTATCCCTTCTCTAATGTGGCCATGAACAATGAAGTCGTTTGAGAAGACACATGAAACAGGGAAAGCATTAAACGGTCTCTGGTTATTTACTATATATATATATCACATTCAAGTATAAATAGTTTAAACGATCATCCAAAGCAAATCAAGTAAACGTTTGAAATTGATTATTTTATTCTGTTTCAGCTATCGATTTGTGTCATCTAAAGTTGTTTTAATTTTAATGGCTTTAGATTACACACATATTCTCTGTTTTCTGTTTGTTTTCCTATCTAAGTACTTTTGTATTGATTATATACTAATACAACAACAGTAAGGATAGTTAATTCAATGTAAAGAGCAACTGGATAAAACAAATTCATTTCAGTGTTTTCTGGGCTATTCAGCATTCAGGTGCTTTTAACTTTCTTTACTGACTAGGTTTCCTTTTTAAAACGTGAAACGACCAATAATGCATGATAAGATGTAACAAAAACACTTACGAAAGAAATATCACAATCGCTATACATTGAATTGTGATCTTACCAATGTGATACTTATATGTCAATATTCAGTAATCTCCTTTGAACAATATTTTTCCATGCAAATTAGTAGAACTAAAAATTTTGATTGATGGAGAAAGATCGTTAAATATGAGCATGTTTTTTTAATCATTCACTTTACATTATCTCAAAGAATAATCATTTTTTTTTTATTTTTCACAATCAAATTGAAAAAGTCAATGAAACTAAATAAAAGAACAGAGTTCCAATGTCCCCCGCGTTGCACATAGTTTATCTATCCAAGGTACAAGGGCAATAAATAAAAAATACACTTTATTTTTTTCTTTAAAATTGTTCATAAATATCTTAGAAAAAAGTTAATGCTTCAGAGCAAATTCAATGTAATTAATTAATATTTCAAAGGCCGTAA